GTCAGAATCCTATATGAGAATCCTAAAGTAAGAATCCTAGAGTGAGAAATCTAGAGAAAACAATCCTAGAGCGAGAATCCTAAAGTAAGAATTCTAGAGAGAATCCTAGAGTGAGAATCCTAGAGCGAGAATCCTAGAGAGAGAATCCTGGATTGAGAATTCTGGAGTGAGAATCCTATATTGAGAATCCTAGAGCGAGAATCACAGAATGAGAATCCTAGAGTGAGAATCCTAGAGTAAGGATCCTAGAGTAAGAATCCTAGAGAGAATCCTAGAGTGAGAATCCTAGAGTGAGAATCCATAACTGAGAACCCCAAAGTGAGAATCCTAGAGAGAGAATCCTAGAGCGATGGTCCTAGAGTGATGATCCTAGAGCCTAGAATGAGAATCCTGTGAGAATCCTAGAGTAAGAATCCTAGAAAGAAAATCCCAGAGTGATAATCCAAGAATGTTAATTATAGAGTGAGTCTGAATATGAATCCTGTGAGAATCCCAGAGTGAGAATCCTAGAGAGATGATCCTAGAGTGAGAATCCTAGAGAGATGATCCTAGAGTGAGAATCCTAGAGAGATGATCCTAGAGTGAGAATCCTAGAGAGATGATCCTAGAGTGAGAATCCTAGAGAGATGATCCTAGAGTGAGAATCCTAGAATGAAAATAACATGAGGACTACTAGAGTGAGAATACTAGAGTGAGAATCGTAGAATGAGAATAAGTGGAAACCCTAAATTGAAAATCCTTATGTGCGGATCGTAGAGTGAGAATCCTATTAACATCCTATTAAGAATTTACGAGAGAGAATCCTCGAGAGAGAATCTTCGAGTGAGAATCCTACAGTGCGAATCCTAGAGTAGGAATCCTAGTGTAAAAAAAAAAAAAAATCCACGAGAGAGAATCCTACGGAACGAATGCCGGAGTGAGAGTCCCAGGGTGAGAATCCTAAATACGGCAGGACAGTGTAAGTGACCTGGACGCCCTCAGATGCATCCTACACGGAGGAACCGGGTCTTGCGGGTGACTTTCTAGGGCGTGTGGGCGTGTGGAGGCGTGAGGGAAAGGAGGCTGTGTTGTATAGGTGTATAATGTTGTTTTTGTGTAGTTAGATGTGTAATACATGATTTCAAAGAGGCCAATCCAGGCACGCATTTAAACATTTATATTCACGGTATCATACACATACTCGCACGCACGAATTTCTCAAATCACACACACACACACGCACACACAAAAAAACACACACGCACACAAAACACACATAAAAAGAACACGAAACACAAAAGAATACACAGACATGTACACAGACACGGAACATTAGATATACACCACAGCTCAATAAACGAGAGAGTAAAAACACAATTATGCCATAATCATTATGATTTAAGATAGAATAACACCACAAATATATGTGTTCGTTAGAGATAATAATCATTTGTAAATGGAAAGGCTGACAAAGGTAATGATAGCAAAAATAATGGTGCAATGATAACAATAATAATGACGATAATGATAGAAATGATAACAATGATGACGATGCTGATAATACTGATAATAATACTGATAATAATGATGATAATATTGATAATAATAATGATAATAATTAGGATCGTAACAAAAATCATAATGATGATAATAATGATGATAATGATAATGATAATGATAATAATAATGATAAGGATGAATAATCATATTGATAACAACAACAACAATAATAGTAATGATATTAATGGTAGTACTACCATTAATAATAGAAATGATCATGATAATGAAATTAATAATAGTGATAATAATAATAATAACAACGATAATAATAACAACGATAATGATAATAACAATAATGGTAATAACAAAAATGATGATAATAATAATGATAATAGTAATAATGATAATAAGATGATGAAGAAAAACAAGAAAAACAAGAAGAAAAAATCAGAGCAGAGAAGAAAGTAAGAGCTGTTCCTTAGTACCCCCTCCCCCTCCCCCCCCTCCTTCCCCATT